CTTGATCTTGGCGTTGGTGCCACTCGCCTCACGCAGGTCCTGCCGGCTATTCAGCTTGTTGATCTCCGAATGCAGCGCCTTTGGGTCCGCCTTGTACTGCGCCTCCTTGCGCTCGTCGCGTTGCTTCTTGATCTTGGCGGCGAGCTTCTTCTTCTCCTCCTTGCGGTGCGCCGAGACGGGGTCCATCGCGAGCTTGTCCTTCTTGCCCATGGCTCTCTGCGGATCGCTCGGTGCGAGGTGTGCGGCCGGCAGGCAGCAAAAAAGACTTTTTAATGCGCGTCTCTTTTCTTTTCGCAGGCGGCGGCGCGGCAAATCCCGCGGGGTGGGCAGCGATTTCGGGCCTGGGGTTGTGCGTTTGAGTGAGCCAGCCGATGGAGAGCGCGGCAGATTATTCGCCGCTTGTGCTTGAGGACCCCGACCTGCTCTGCACAATCCTCGCGCAGCTCCCGGACGCGCACGCACTCGTTGCGGCGGCAGCGGTCGCACGGCTGTGGCGCGTTCAGGGCCGCGACGACCGCGTGTGGCGCGCCCTCTACCGCAAGGTCTGGGGTCCGCGGGTGGGGTCGGCGGAGCCGCCGCTGCGCGACGTCCGCGTGGGCTGTTTCGTCGAGCTCTCCGGGCTGACTGCGAGGCCAGACCTGAACGGTCGGGTGGCGCAGGTGTTGGACAATGAGGCGGACGGGACGTGGAGAGTCAAACCCGTGAATCTCGTCGCGTGGGAACGGTACCTTCGAGATCAGATCGAGGTGATGACCCGCGCTTATTCCCTCCCTCCCCTGTTTGGAGAGACCCTCAGCGCAGAAGACTACGCCGCCTCAACTCTTGACGAGGAAGCGCTCCACGTGCAGCCGCAGAATTTGCACGGACAGTGGCGGCTTCGCTTCCGACGCCGCCACACTGGCTTCGAGTTTGTAAACCTGCTGGGCGGATCGGGGCAGGTGCAGGTCGACGAACACGGCTTCTCGACGGCCGTCGGCCTACAGACCTTGACGTACAGACACCATGGTCTCGTGCTGCGCGGCCGCCGCCCGCTCCAGTTTATCGAGGACGAGCTCGCGTACTTTGAGGTCTCCACGAGCGCCTCTTCGGTCGGCGTCACGGTCGGCTCGGCGTACGATGGACAGCGTGCACTGCACATCGGCTGGCGGAGCACGGCGTACGGCTACCACAGCGATGACGGCGCGAAGTGGCGCCACGACGCGGTCGCGGGCCCTCGCACGAACGGCGCGATCATGAACGGCGTCACCTTCGGTGAGCCCTTCGGGGGCCACCGCGGCTCAGCGGTCGACACGGTGGGCTGCGGGCTCGACCTACGCCGCCGCTCCGTCTTCTTCACAAAGAATGGCAAGCTGCAGGGCACTGCCTTTGAGAACTGCTGCCTGTCCCGACTTTGCCCCCGACTTTACCCGACGGTGGCGCTGCACGAGGACGGTGACCGCTGCCGCTTCAACTTCGGAGCAGAGCCCTTCCTCTTCGACATCGCTGCGTTTGCGGTGAGCGACGCGCGGTCGGCCGGCGTGATTGGCGGCGGCGAGCTCCCGACGCCGGAGACCGAGGACGACGGCTCGGACGACGACGACTCGGACGACGATGACTCGGACGACTCCGACGACGAGTAGTCGCTCGCACCCGCGACAGAACGGAGGTGGGAGGGCGCCCCGCGTTGGCTGGGCCGCGCTGCGCCAAGGCGGCGGAGTGCACTCTACAAGTACACGCTCGAGCTCGGCGTCCTCCTCCTTCATCCTCTGCTACGTCGCCACGTACGCGTTGCACGACGTGTCGACGTCGCACGCTTGCTCGGCCGCCAACCCAAGCAGCCGCCGCCGCCGCATTCGCAGCTCTGCTGAGGGTGCACGGGGAGGCCGCTGGCGCTTGGGCCGGAGCCCCGACCGCTTTCAAAGCTACTAGTTAGCTGCGCCGGGAGGTCCACACGTCTGGGGGGGCGACCCCCCCATCTTTGTTTACCGAATGCGTCTCTGGATTAGAGTGCGTCTAGTAGGCCTCCTACTTAGACGCTCGCTGTCCTCGGTATGCTCGAGCATCCTAAGATGCGCGAGTCTATATTAGTTGCTCCGCGCATCCCGAATTGCTCGCGGCATCTCCGATTGGCGTTGCTGTCTCAAAAGACGCGCCGTGCATACTGTGAACAGCGCGTGTCTCAGAAGACGCGCGCATATTTTGAACAGCGTGTGGATCTCAAGAAATACACGCACGTATAAAAACAAAAAAGAAAACGAAAACTCGGTGTGGCGAGCGCTGCGCGGCGGGCCGTGCCCCCGGCTGTGCGCCGCGGCTGCTGCGCTACTACTCGCACAGCCGCGGCGCGCCCACCCGAGCACTCGTGGGTGGGCGCCCTATAGCCTCTCCGCGCAACGTGCTGGGGCACGGACAGCGGCTCTCACGTGTGGCAGCGGCAGCAGGCCCACCGCTGCACCGACTCACACTGAACAGCACGCACAGGACACAGTCACAGAACACTGCCCCTGACGCCACTCACGGCCACGGGCTACTCAGACTTGGACACAGGCACCTCGCTTAGCACTCCGTGCACGTGGCTGCCGGTTGCCGTCACCAGCGCCGCTTCCTGCCCAGATCAAACACCTGCGACGTGGCGGAGGCGATGAGCGGCCCGCGGTCGCCGTGAGAGCGCGCGTGGTGGGCGACGGCTCACCGATCGAGCGGAAGCGGTCACGCTGTGGGGGCGGCGGAAGCGGTCACGCTGTGGGGGCGGCGGCGAGGCGGGCAAGCCACCCGCAGATCCCCAGAAGGACGCCGTCGCGAGGTCGAGGGCGGGCGGCGGGGGCGGCGAGAGCGAGGCGCGAGGCGCGAGGCGGTGTTGGCGGCGGCGGTGGCGCGGGCGGCGGCGGTCACGGAGCGGGGGCGAGAGGGTGGTGGCGAGCAAGACACCCGTGCGCGCTGCGCGGTCGCCGTTCTGACTCACATGCCTGCGGACAGCGCCGACGGGTGGTGAGGAGGGCGGCGAGCCGGCGGGCACGGTGTGCGCGCGGTCGCCGCGCGCTGGTGGGCGACAGCTCACCGAGTCGGGATGCCCGGTCCCTCAAATCGCCAAGTCAAACAAGAAAAACCGCGCAGGTGGCCGACTCTCGGAAGTACGCTGTCTTCCGTGTCTAGGCGCACGCCCACGCCCTCAGCCTCGAACTGGCCCCGCTACCTGCCGCGCAAACTGGTTGGTGGGGGGGGGAGGCGGCGTCGCCGTCGGATCGTCGTAAGCAGTGCATGCAACTTTGGTCTTTGCGCCCAGAGCTCGTGGCGCGAGCAGATGCATGCGCGGTGCTGAGAACCTGGTTCTCCAGGAGGGGCAGGCCGCGAGGAGAGACCTCACACGAGCACTCAAGGCAGGGCCCCCAGGGGGTGCCGAGAGATCACACCGCCTTTTCGTGCTCCCTGGCTCCCTGCTCCCCCCTCGGTGCCCGGTGCACCCGACACACGGTGTCTCCTGAGACGCTTCCCTGTCCAAGTATAGTAAAATGTGATCTAGTATGCAAGTGCCATCTCAGAACAGCTGTGCATCTATAGATGCTTGTGGCGTCTAAGATGGAACGCGTAACAAAAGACACGGCGCGGCTATCTCCAGGACAGCCATCGCATCCTAGAATGCCCTGTGTACCCGAGACACATGGTATCTTTGAGATGAAAAGTGCGTCCTAGAATGCGTTTTTGCATTCTAGGACGCATCGGTAAACAAAGATGGGGGGGTCGCCCCCCCAGACGACAGCGCCCAGGCCGCAATTTCCCGCAAGACCTCGACCTGCTCTCGTCCTGCTGCTGCGAGCCTGCGTGCTGGGGTCGAGCTGCGGGCTGCCGTCTTGTGCCGACCGCGACCGGGGGGCGGGGGGTCGGAGTGGTGTTTTGATGCAATGAATATAGGGACTTGTGATATACAATGAAAGGGATTCGGAAGAAGCGCGACGTCCGACGACCTCACGGACCTGATTGCTGACATTAACTGCTCCACACACACGATGCTCAGACCCCGGGGGCCTGGGAAATTACACCGCCTTGTCCTGCCGGGGTGGCGCGGGGCGACTGGCGCGGAGAGCGAGGGCGAGCGTGACGAGCCGCTCGACGAGTTCGCCTGCAGCAGAGGGCAAACGCGGTGTGTGCCGCGGAGACGCGGGCGGGGGCGGGGGGACGCGCGCTGAGCACACCGACGCGTCCGACCCAGCGCGAGTCGGGCAGCAGATCGCCCGTGGCGGCATCGAAGCATGGCTCCTCGAAGCGGCGGATCGCAACCTCGGGCGCGTTGACAAAGGTGACGTCGATGAACGACCCGATCTGACGCAGCGCCTGCTGCCCCCGCACGCCGCCGCCGCCGCCGCCCGACGAGAGGATGGCGCCCGCCTTGCCCGCCCAGAGGTTGCCTTGCGTCGGCACGCGGGAGGCCCAATCGATGGCATTCTTCAGCGCCGCAGAGATCGAGTAGTTGTGCTCTGGGCAGGCAAAGAGCACCGCGTCGGCCGAGCTGACGGCGGCGCGCCAGCTGCTGACGGCTCCTCGTGTCGATCCGCCCGCCTCGTCGAGGTCCTGCGAGTAGAGCGGCAGGTCGCCTGCTCACACAGAGCCGCGGTGAGACGCCCTCGACTGCGGCCCTCCCGCGGGGAGGAGAGCAGCAGGTGTACCGATGGTGGCGAGACGCAGCTCCACGCCGCGCTGCCGCGCCGCCACCGCCGCAACACGCAGCAAGCCAGCGTTGGTGGAGGCGGCGCGCAGCGAGCCGCAGACGCCCAAGAGCACGAGCGGAGGCCAGGCATCCGGCAGCGGCAGCGTGTCCGGCGGCGCAGAGGCCGGCGCGGCGGCGGGAGGCTTGGCGGCCTCCGGGTTGCGCTTTTGCGGCCGCTGCTCAGAGCGCCGCGCCTGAGGCGGGAGGCCGGGTCGGAGATCGGAGCACCGCAATCGGCGGGAGTCTTGTGCGTGTGTGTGTGTGCGTGTGTGTGTGTGTGTGCGTGCGTGCATGCGTGCGTGCGTGCGTGCGTGTGTGTGTGCGTGTGTGCATGTGTGTGTGTGCGGGCGCTTGTGGGTGCGTGGGAGGTGGGGGGCGCCGGCGCCTTGTGACGGATCGCTATCGTGCCCGACCCTACCACGGCACCCGTCACGCGAGCGGCGGCCGCGGCCGCCGCAGCAAACGAGGGCGACCTCGGCCGCTCGATCGGCGTCTCGCTCACCTAGCGCACGGGCGGGCGAGGCGCGGAGATGCTGCCGGGCGGGCGCCAGGCCTTTGCCTTTGGGGCCCGCGGCGAGAGGGAGGCTGGCGTGGCGACACGCGGGGCAGAGGAAGTGGAGGCGAGGAGGTGGGAGGAGCTGGCGGGTGCGAGAGAGGAGGGCGGTGTTGTGAGGAGATGGTGAGGAGGAGGTGGTGAGGAGGTGGTGAGGTGGGGAGGGGGCGGGGAGGGGGCGGGGAGGGGGCGGGGAGGGGGCGGGGAGTCACCTCGCTCGCGTCGCAAGAGACGCTCAGCTCGCGAGTCAGCTCGCGAGGCGTATGCGGCGAGCCGGTCCCGTTGGTCGTGTCTCCCACCGCCGCCGCGCCCGCGCCGTTGGGCGCCCACGGCGGCGGCTTGGCTCCGCGGTACATGGAGGGGGAAGGAAGGGGCGACTTGTCAAAGTCCTTCGAGCGGCCGCGCGAGCGGCGCGACTTGGGCGACTGCTTCGTCGGCGACGAGGCGCCCGACCGGCTTCGAAAGGACGCCGCCTATCGGAAGGCTCGGAGCAGGCTGCAGGAGGTCGCAAGACAAGTCCCGACCGGCCGTGCAGCGACGCCGCCGGCTTTGGCGAGCCGTTCGGCGGCGCGGAGCTCTTGGAGGTTGGCGTCGCCGGCCTGGCGCGCGCCGCGGCGCCCGAGGCCGCGCCATCTCCCGAGGCAGCCCTCTCTGGCGCCTGTGCTGCTGGCTCTGCGGCTGCTGGCTCTGCGGCTGCCGCCGAGGAGAGGAGGCTCGAGGATGAGCCCCCCGTCCCAAAGTCGTACTTGCCTCCTCCGGCGCGCATGGTCTGCATGAAGTGGGGCTTGCAGTAGACTCCGCCGGACAGGTCCATGCACCTGCGGCGCGACAGAGCGAGGCGGGCAGCGGGGAGGGGAGTGAGAGGACGGGGCGAGGGGAGGGTCGCGAGCCACACGCTGGGAGGGCGGTCCAGGCAACCGCGGCGGTGGTGGCGGCGCGTGCTCGCGCGCGGTCGGACGTGTTCGCGCGTGGGGGGCCGGCCGCGCCAGTTGGAGGGCGAGAGCTTGATGTTGCACTCGATGCAGCGGAAGCAGGTGTTGTGGAAGACCTGATCCTTGGCGCTCACGCGCTCGGCCGCGTACACGGTCTTGTTGCAGCGCGTACACTTCTCGCCGCCGCCGCCGAACCGGCCGAACGACGAAGAGCGCATGATCTTGGAGCCGGAGCGCGGCGCCGGCGAGGCGGTGGCCGGAGCCGGGACGGGAGTGCACACCGGAGCCGGTCCCGGAGTCGGTGCGGGAGAGGACACGTGTGCAGGCGATCGAGTCTCGCCGTGGGCGGTGGCCGGAGCGAGCGGCCTCTGCGGCGTCGCGGCCGCCTTACCGTTGCTGCTGTCGCTTCGGCGCGGCGTGGACGGCGGTGACCGTTCCGATTCGGTGTTGACAGTCAGAGTGCCGCCAGACGTCTTGAGCGCCTGCATGAAGTGCGGCTTGCACCACAGCCCGCCGCACGGGTCCATGCACCAGGACGACAGCGTGAGCTTCACGTTGCACTCCTTGCACCGAAAGCACGCGACGTGGAAGATCTTGTCCTGCGCGACCGCCCTCTCCGCCACGTACACCGTCTTGGCGCAGAGCGCGCACTTCTCGCCGCCGCCGCCGTAGCGGCCGAACGAAGAGGAGCGGCGCACCAGCGCGGGCCTCTCGTTCTCGGACATTTGTAACCCACAGCTACACAGCGCCTAGTTCCTACCAAAAGGTGCATGCAAAAGAAAATCGTCGTGGCCACGCATCATGCTGCGCATTGGCGAGCAATCGCGTAACGGAGGGCTGCGATCCAGGCTGCGTCTTATTTGGGCCGCCTTTTGGCGACTTCTTGCGCCTCCCTTTCTCTCTTGCCTTTTTTTTTAGAGCGCCTTCGTTGTTAATAGTACAAGCCCAATGGTCCCTTGCAAGCGGTCCCTTGTCGCAGTCGCACACACGCACACGCCGCGCCGCACCGCGCGCCCGCCCGCTGCCCCGCCCAGGCGGGAAAGAGATGAGCTTTTTTTCCATGCGGATGTGACCGCGCGAGGTGGCATGAAGGTTGCTGCGAGAATCAGACGACCTGGTCCTTTTTCGGGGTTATCAGGCACATAAGGGCGGCGAGGGTGTGATGCTGATGGCTGACGCCTCCGCCCGGCTCTGCGCGTCTGCTGGAGTGCCTTGGCGACGCTGGTGACGTCGGAGTGACCCGGCACCTGCTTGTGGTGTGGGGTCTTACACAGTGCTTGACATAAGAGGGCGATCTGTCCTGATCCCAGGACTGATGGTGATGCTTGGTAGCTACCCACATTCGCTTCACTCGACCAACAGACCCACCCTCGGCGGTGGCCGCCGCAACCTCTTGATAATAATTTAAATGATAAGTCACGAAGCAGCCATCGTAGAGAGTGGCACGAAAGAGTGCAAGCCCCCCCCCCCCCCCCCGGGGGGCCATGCTTTTGACGGATTCTGAGCACTTGCGCGAGACCTTGGAGCCCTTGGAGTGCAATTATCAACCGCACATCCAGGGCCGGGGAGCTCAGAAGCGCCAGACCGAATTTTTTTACGGGGTGCCGTTGGCGCGTTGTCGCCTTCCGCGTTTTCCCTCCTCTCCAGCGTGTCTTCGATGGGCTGGGCAGCGACGACAACCATCATTTCGGCGCCCGAGGCGGCTGCCAAACGCGCGTGGACGACCCTCCAGAGCAATTTCGAAAGCTACAGAGAAGGCGAATGCGGTTCCTATGAGTTGGATGCGGGCCTCGCTATGGGCAAGGGGCAGGTGCGCAGACACTGAGCAAGACGGGTCCTCACTGCGGCTATTCTGACCCGCTACTGGAGGAGCTCAGCGCCATGCGGCACGTCGGCAGCAAACTTGGCCTTTTCGCCCGCGGCGATATACCATCGGTCGCGAGTCAGCCACCAGATCCACGGGTCCAGCTCCTCTCTGCAGATGAAGACGAGGGCTTCCACTACTGGTGGATGGCGCCTGCGAGCGCCTTGCTGGAGTCCGGTGGCAGCACGTCCGCCGCTTCGCAGCCCGGTGCAATTAGTCTGGCTTGCATCAAATGTGGCGCAAGCGTGCACCTGCGGGGTGCACAGTTTTGTGGCACCTGCGGCGAGCGGCTTCCGTCGACCAGCGAAGACGCGGGACGCACCGGCCTCCTCGTCCGTCTCCGCCGCGAGCTCGGCCAGGCAATGCAAGCGGTCAGCTACGCGCAGCCGGGGGTGCGCCAGGTGGATGGCACGTCTGGTATGCTCTTCAAGCACAACGGGCCACACAGGCGGCGCGCCGACGAGTACGCGTTGCCAGTGCGCCAGCAGCTCGCCACGGCGCTGGACGCCCTCAGCAAGCCCGTCGCACAGCCTGCACAGGGCAACGAGCTCAGCTCGTCCATCAAAGCGGCCCGCGCCGCCCTGCGCGCGTGGGACTCGCGCGACGACGAGCTGGAGGAACGGCGGCGGGGTCGGGACTTTGGCGGCGCCTATGGCGACGATGATCCCGACGACCCCGACGACGATGAGGACGACTGCTACGGCTACGGCGGCGGCAGAGTCTGTTTCCAATTCCGCGACCAGGGATGGTGCAGCTACGGCTCGAGCTGCAGATACCGCCACCCGCGCTACCCGGCCGGCTGCCGCCGGGACTGCCTCGATTGTGGCTTCGCCGTGCGGCAGGCACTCAAGCTCTGCTCGGAGCACCTTGGTGAGGTGGAGGATGCGCTACAGATTGTCCGGCAGCCTTTCGTCTCCGATGGCGAGATGATTGCGGCCGCCGCCCAGCGCGAGCAGGTGGCCGGCGTCGCCGGTTTCCTTACGCGTGCGGCGGCTCTAGGCCATTTTGTTCTCATCAACCACGACAACGAAGGCTGCTGAGATCAGTGTGCCTGCTGAGAGCGAAGGGCCGTGCGTCTGTGCGAGGATCAGGTGGGAGCGGGCGGAACGCTGATGTGAACTTCTTTTTCTACGGCGCCCGTGGTGTTACCTGTGTGAGACAAGTGTGTGCGTGTGTGTTGGCCTGTTGCACTCTCTGTTCCCAGTTTTCTAATTGGCGAAGTTTCATGCAATAGCTTAAAAAATCTTACATGTTACAAAATAAAACTAAATAAGGGACCGGTGGGCGGTGCAACCACACGGGTTTGGGGTTTGGCTCCGGAGTGCCCCACCCGCTCCCAGCGCGGCGTGTGCCTTCCTTCAGCGGCTGTTCACCGGCATGGGATCTGTGGAAGCTTCGATCGATCCGCTGTTCCGCGGCGACGACTCACGACCCGTCGCGCGGGTCGCGCAACGTCGTCTCGGTCAGCGCAACCCGCGAGAAACTTGCCGTGCACGCCTGCCCTGTCGGGCACTGCGCCAGGAATCCGACCGACAGCGGCGCGCTCGGCTCGCGCAGGCAAAAGATCCGGGTGAGCGTCCATGCCTCTCCTCCGTCGTGCGCGTAGTGGAAGGCGAGGGCGGCGCCGAGCTTGGAAATGCGCAGGCGCACCGCCCCGCCCTCGACCGCCGCGCCGTTCGCGTCGTCCGAGATGCCGCGCGTGACGACGGAGACGACGAGGGGCTTGCCCTCCGGAGAGAGCTCGTAGCAGCACTTGCACCAGTCGCCTGGCCCCTGGTGAACGAAGAGGGTGCCTGCGGGAAGCTTCCGAGAAGGTTCAGGGAAGGGCCCCGGGTCGGACTGCCCCAGCTGCAGCAGGGCGAGTTCCCGCGTCGAAGAGAGACTTGTGTACCACCTCCACGCGCGCCGACAGCTGCCAGTCGCCGGGCGGCGGCGAGAAGACGAGGCACGGCGCGTTTGCAAGGCCGGAAGGCATTCCTTCGCCGGGCGGAGGGTTGAACCAGTCCGTCCTCGCGCCCGCCGTCATCGTCAGCACGCCCTCCTCGACCGACGCGGCGCCCTCCACGCCGCCAAGCCAGCGCAGCGCCGGAAGGCCGGAGAGGGAGAGCCCAGCGCCGGCGGGCGCCGCCGAGTCCGAGCCCTCAGGCTCAGCCTCGCGCGGCCGTTTGCGCGCGCCGTCGGCACCACCCTCTGCGCACGAGCGGGCGAGCGCCTCGTGCTCGGCGATGCCCTGGCCGTATGCGGCCGCGTCCTGTAAGAGAGAGAGGGAGAGGTGAGTCGCATGGTTGCTTGTGGCAGGCGGCGGCGGCGGCGACAAAAGCAGGGTGGCCCATGGATAGCAGTTCCACACATCCTCCACGTTCTCGCCCGCGATGTACGTCACGTCGTCGGGCAGCGAGCCCGTCTTTGGCTTGGCCTTGTTGTGCACCTGCCGTGCCAGCAAGGCACGTGTGGAGGTGTGCGAAGGGAAGTCGGGCGTGACATTCCGACGCCACCACATAGACGCCCACCGCTGCAGGCGCTTGAGCTCCTCGACGGCAAACTGGAGCGTCGCACGCGTGTCGTCGACCTACTTCAAAATCAAGAATAAATGCGCGGCGCTCGGAGGCAGGCGCGCCAGCGGAACACCTCATCAATGATGAGGACTCGGCGGCCACGGACCAGCGAGCCAAACGTGCCGGGCGCCTCGTCGAACCACTGCTTGCAAATCACGGAGGAGTTCGCCGTCTTTGTGGCGTCGTCGTACAGCTCGAGAGAGATGGCGAGGATCGGCTTTTGTACCTCGGTCCGTAGCATCCGCGCCGGTATGAAGCCGCCGCCACCGATCGCAACGGACGTCGGGCGCAAACGCCTGAACCTCGGGCACCGAACCGCTCACGGTGGCGGCGATCTGACTGTAGGAGAAGTAGCGCTTGCCATCGGGCGCGAGGAAATTGCTCATCGCGACGTTGCACAGCCGGCACAAGCCGGAGGGTTACTCGAGTAGGGTCCTTGTGGACCGGGGTAGTCGTATTGTCTTTTATCGCTTCGGGTCGCTATCGCAAACCCTGTCAGCAGAGTCTCCTACGGGAATGTACGTAAGAGCTACATACACTGAGAGAGAGCAGTTGCAAAGATCAACCGCCTTGCGCGCAAGGCTCAACGCTCGGGCGTTGACCGCAGTGGGAGCGGGGCGGGGCTGCAGCAGCTTGGCGGCGTCGGCACGGCCGCACTCTGAGCGAGCGTAGGCGATGGCCGCCTCTTCGGCGGTGTCGAAGTAGCCGAGGTGGACACGCTTGCCGCCATCCCGCACATGCACCTGAAACTTCATATTGCGGCGGTCGAAGTTCACGTTCTTGTAGCCAGTCGTGCTGTTCTTGAGGGTGGCCGGGATCAACACGAGGCGCTCTGACGACGCGGTCCGTAGCGGGGCCATCATGCAGCCGGAGCACGTAGATTTTCGCGAGTTTGACAATTGGGATTCGATTTGGATTATCACAAGGCAGCGTGGGCACCTAAAATCATTGGCCAGGCAATCGTCTCGCGGGCGTTTTGGCGAGTGCAGAAACATAATGCATATACGTAGTACGTCAGCGCCTCCAGGCTGTGGCGCCAGGAAGGGGTGCGTATGCGGATACATGATACGTCATGCGTAACGCGGTCGTCGATGGGCCTGAATTGATAAAATTACGCTGAGAAAATTTCTGAAACGGCGTGCAGCAGAGTCACCGACGAGTCGGTCCGCGTGACTCCTCGTGTCCCGTACCGTTCTCACACATCCATAAACTCACTTTGGCCTCACTGAAGCCTCAATCCTGAATCCTCAGTTTAGATTAGGACGGCCTAGCCAACTCTTGTCTCTTGGTGGTCCACGTCACCTCATCGAGGTACTGGGCCCGCGTCAGCTCCCCGGCCATGCATGGCAACACAAAACAACATCTCTCTCTCTGCATGGCGCGATGCGTCTGTTCGGCGAGCACACCGCGGCCTGACGACAGGTCGTCCATCGAGACCTTTTTTCGAGGGCAATCATGCCCTCGTTGCGTTAGTGTGGAAGCAGCAGCCACCAAGTGGGATGAAGGCCGCCCAGCAAGGCGCCGCTCGACAAGGCTGTACCACCTTCGTACGATGCATTCTTTTTTCCCGTCGCCCGTCTTTGCGTCCTCCGCCCGTACAAAAGCAACAAGGGAGACGAGGGTGGGTCACAAAACAGCGCGCCACAAGGCGCTCAGAGCGGAGAGTTGGACAGCGACACACAATGTCTTCTCCGCCCACCGCCGTTCTCAAGCTGCGCCGCCTCGCGCGCAAACAAAGTCGCGCGCGGCAGCGTTGACCGCACGGCCTACTCGCCCAAGTACTCGCTCTCTTTTATGTCCCACCATGCAGAGCCCATCTCTCTCTCTGTTGTGCGAGGCGTGAACCGCGCCATTCGCTCTCACCTGGCAACCCTGTCTGCACGTCTCGCGCGCGCGTGACAGGGCGACGACCATCGAGAGACAGCTCACACTCGATGCGTCTGATCGTTTCCGGCTTGCACAATTTGGGGGGTGCCCGAGCATGATGTTGCGGAAGGGTAACCACCGTCGGGAGAGTTGTCCGAAGTTCGCCGACGGAGGTAAAGGGTGACGGCCTTCGGCTCAGCGCCCTCGTTCAAGCGCACCACCAAGCTTATGGTTGAAGGGCTCGGCGAGGTCCGCCTCGTGTGCGAGCGTGAGTCGTCCGAGTCGCTAAAGCTCTATGTCGAGGCGGACGCGAACGCATGGGAGAACCTCGCCGTCGTTTCGTCCGGCTTCGAGGTGTCCATCATGGCCCCGTCCGGCTGCGATCCCTACAAGCACGCCTTCCTGACATTCGGCGCAGGTGGGCACCCGCCGTGGGACGGCCGCCAGTTCAACGGCGAGCGCCCCGGCGGATACGGTGTGCCCCATCTGGACGTGCACTTCTTCGTCGTCACGCCCGCGGAGCGCGAGGCCCTCACCGGCACCTGCAAGGTCTTCGACCCCGGCCCCGCCGACTCGAAGGGGCAGCTTCTTCAGTGCAACGAGACGGCGCCCGAGACTAGTGCCTTCATGAAGCTCCCGCCCGCCGAGTACATTACGGGCTTCTCGCACGATGGCGCCTTTGGCGGCCATTCGATCGATTCCACGGCCTTCACCTTGTGCCCGACGACGACCTGGCGCCCGGCGGGCCCGCGCATTGCGTGAGCACCGGCCCGCACAGCGGCGGTCCAGCCGGGTGGCTCGATTGCCACGAGCAGTTTTTGGGCTCTGTGACGCCAAATCCGACGGAGGGCTCCTTCGTCGACAAGGACTGCACTTGCGGCTACTGGGCCGATCAGATCTCTGCCATCGTCAACGTCTACGATGGGCAGGTGCTCGGCAACGAGGCGATGCCGACCCTCGCCCTCGCAGGCCTCCTGCGCAACGGCGAAGTGCCCAACCCCTTCTACAAGCCGTACCCGCAGGCCGACAAGTACCAGACCGCCGGCCACCGACCGGTGAGTGTGATGGCCGCTCTCGACCCAAGCACGGTCACTTTCATGACTGGCCTTGCGCTCCACCCGGAGTACATGGAGGCCAACTGAGCGCGAGCCGCAGGCCGCGCGACTTGCCGCGCGGACGACGCCCGCCGCGGGCTCCCCTGCGCGCGTCTCCTGCCTGGTGAGACAGTCGGTGAGACCAAGGGAAAAGAATGGCCAGCGCTGCCGTATTTGCCATTGCACTTAGCTCTTAGGAGGAGGTGCATGACTGGGGCTGGATCCAACATGCTTGATGCTACGAGCACACGCGTATGTAAAGCTGCTTGCGGTGACTACATGGATCATTGCCATTTGGCCGTTTCTGTCATCGACATCGTGGTCTGGATCCTTCATCCTTTGGTTCAACATTGGTTTTGAAATTTCAAGACCGACCCTCACCTCTACTCTATTACAGCTGGTGGTCACGGGCACAGCATGAGTTGTGCGGTCGGAGGTGGTGCTTGCGGTGGAGCATTCAACTGTGCTGGTCCTCCTCTCGGGAATCGGTTCTGTGCCTTCGATCTGTGCCTGTGCTCAGTCGGGAGATCTTGCTCTGGAGGGCTGCATATCTAGCCTCACTGGGAGCCTGCCTTTGGGTCGTGAGGGCAGGGGCCAGGCATCTCCTGTGCGCTGTGGTGCATTCTTGGCAGCCAAGGAGCAAAGCACGCGGCCCTGGCTAGCTGTGGTGTGGCCGGGAAGCCGTGCTAAAGTTGCGTGCCCTCCTAAAGATGCGGGACCCACAAGTGCTCCACACTAAATGTACTGCAGCTGCCCGCACCTAAAGTGAACTAAATGTGGCGCTAAAACACACTAAATATGTGCTAAATATGTGCTAAATACGTGCTAAATATGTGCTAAATATGTGCTAAGTATGTACTAAATTTGTGCTCTAAAGATATATACGCACTCGAACACACACTAAAAATAGCGCACTATCCACTAAACTATCACTAAATCTAAAATTCATTTACACGCACTAAAAATTAAGACCCCCAGAGGCGCCCTCCTCATAGCGGGGAGAGCATCAGCGATCACAGGGTGGGGGCGGAGCGAGACGGGCTGACGGGGCTCGGGGGAGACGAGGGAACTCGCTACTCCTCGGAAATCAAGTGAATTCCGTTCATATATACACAACACGCCTCTCTCTCCGTGTCAGTATCACGGCCGACCCACAAAACTCTCGTAGACGTGCGCTGCGTGCGCGCGCGCGGAGACAAGGGACACGCGGACAGACGGAGCGCCGCAATACCAATACTAACGAATCCCTCACAGGTCACAGACGACAAACCAGAGGTCACGATACGCCCTTGCACAGTCCACAGGAGAGCGTCCCCCTTCCCCGAAGAGCGAGCCCTCTGCGGGCATTGTCCGCGCCCCGCACGCCGCCGCCTCGAGAGGCGAGGCGGCGAGGCGCACGCGCGAGGGGAGGGGGGGGGGGTGCGAGCCAGCCACTCACTCGAAGGTGACGGCGAGACGCATGCCGAAGTAGGCGGTGGCGACGTAGTAGGCGAGGTACGCGAGGAGGGCGACGGCGACGGCCGGCGAGCGGTGCACGTTGACGGCCTTGTCGAAGGTCCACATCCCAAAGAGCTTGACGAGGAACTGCCTACGCGGCGAGGGGCTCCGAGCCGGTGATCAGGCCGCGAGCGAGAGCGAAGCGGAGCGGAAGGGGGGGGGGGGGGGGCTGCTTGTGCGGCGCGTAGGGCGGGAAGCGCGCGGCGAGCAGCGGCTTGAGGACCGTGTACTCGTCGACGGCGGGCGAGCGCGAGAGGACGGCCTAGACGGGGAGGCTCAAGAGACTTGCTGGCGGGGGCCCGCAGAGAGGCGGGGGCGAGAGGCGAGAGGACGCGGCCTTCTCGTGCGTAAAGGCGAGGAAGGAGCGGTGCGCGTGGTACGAGCCCATCCCCGACGCGCCTGGCCTCGGGCGAGCTCGGGTCAGCTCGGGTGTGTCTCGGCCGATCTCGGCGTCTCTCGAGCCCATCCCGGACGCGCCGACGCCGCCGAAGGGAAGGTCGTGGTTGGCGATGTGCATGACGCAGTCGTTGATGCAGAGCCCGCCAGAGGTGGTGCGCCTGGGGGAGGGAGGGGGGGTGGCGGTCGCGCGAGCCCGTGGCAAAGACTCGCCGCTTGACGTCCCCCGGCGGCACATCTCGGGCTCATCTCGGGCTCATCTCGGGCTCATCTCGGGCTCATCTCGGGCTCATCTCGGGCGCGCCGCTTGACATCCTCCACCACCGCCGAGTCGGTCGCGAAGCAGTAGAGCGCGAGCGGCTTGCCCGTGGGGAGCGCCTTGACGAAGCTGACAACCGCCTCGAGGTCCGAGTAGCGGCAGACGGGCAGGATCGGCCCGAAGAGCTCGTCCTGCATCGCCTCGCAGCTGGAAAAGGCGCGCCAGTCGCCGCCGTAGTCGAGGACCGTCGGCTCGATGTAGCGCTCCGCCGCGTCGGTCCGCCCGCCAGAGTAGACGACGCTGGGGGGCGCGCCGCGCACGATCGCCTCGAGGCGCTTGAAGGCGCGCTCGTTGACGCAGCGGCCGAACCACTCGCTCTTTTGCGGGTCTGCGCCGTAGAACTCCTTGATGGTCGCCTGGAGGGGGAGGGAGGAGGGTGTGTGTGTCCGTGTGAAGCGTCTGTGAAGCGTCTGCGGAGTGTCTATGGTGTGTCTGCGGAGTGTCTATGGTGTGTCTGTGGAGTGTCTGCGGAGTGTCTGTGGTGTGTGTCTGTGGGGCGTCTGCGGAGTGTCTATGGTGTGTCTGTAGAGTTGTGTCTGTGGGGGTGTCGCCTTGAGCAGCTTGAGGAAGGGCTCGGCCACCGCCTCGTGCACCAGCAGAAAGTCGGGCCGGATGCAGGTCTGGCCGCCTAGAGGGAAGGGACGCGCCTTCTCTGCGACTCACCGCGCGTGGGAGACCGCCGGACGACGCCCTCCGCCCGCCGTTGATGAAGGTGCCCCAGACCTGAGCAGCAGGGGAGGGGCGGCGGGGTGGGAGGGTGGGGCGCTCGCGGCATCGTGTGTTCGTGTGCTCGGCAGGGGCGGGAGTGAGGCGGCGGAGCAGAAGTGTGGCCACGTGTCTCCTCGAGCGCCCTCTCTCTCGTTGACAGGGAGGCGCACCCTTCTCCCGCGCTAGTCTGGATGCAGATGCCGGTAGGCGCCACTCTCCGCGCGGGCGCGGGTTCGGACTCACGCAGGTACAGGTGGGGGTGCATCTACCGCGCGGACGAGGCGGCGGGCGGCGTGGCCGAGGTCGGCCGAGCGGTCGACGATGGCGGGGGACTTGCCGCCCAGCTCGAGCAGGCAGGGGGTGAAGTGCTTGGCGGCCGCCTGGTGGTGATCTGGTGGTGATGCTGGTGGTGCTGGCGTACTTGCTTCAGAAGGAGTGACACACGGCTCGAGGGGTCACTCCTTCTGAAGCGAGGGGGGGGGGGGGGGCGAAAGAGGGGGGAGGGGAGGAGGGGAGAGGAGGGGAGGAGGGCGGGGCGGTGGTGCGAAGGGAGGTGCGAGCGGAGGTGCAGACGCAGGGGCGATCGGGCTGGCGCCTGCAGGATCTTCCCCACGAGGTGTCTAGGAGGTGTCTAGGAAGTGTCTAGGAAGGCGCCTGCAGGATGATCTTCCCCACGAAGCCCGAGCCCGTGAAGAAGATTTTGTCAAACCGCTGGTCGAGAAGCGCCGTCGTCACCTCGCGGTCTCCCTCGGCGACGACGATGGCGGCGGGGTCGAGGTACTGCTGAACGAGCCGCGAGATGACGTGCGAGGTGGCCGGCGCGTACGAGCCCGGCTTGAGCAGCGCGCAGTTGCCGCCCGCGATTGCGCCGACCAGAGGCGCAAAGCACATCTGGACCGGGTAGTTCCACGGCCCCATGATGAGGACGACGCCGAGCGGGTCGTGGACGGTGTACGAGCGCGCGGCGGTGTTGAGCGCGGCGGTGTCCGTGTAGTGCCGCGCCATCCACTCGCCCAGGTGGGAGAGCGCCGTCTCGATCTCCTTTTCGACGAGGCCCATCTCGGTCGAGTACGCCTCAAACGCCGACTTGTGCAGGTCCTCGTACATGGCGTCGCAGAGCTCCTGGTTGCCCTCTCTGAGGAGCCGCCGCAGTGCGTGCAGCTGGCCCACGCGCCACTCCTTTGAGAAGGTGTGCTCCGACGCAAACGTCCGGCGGAGCGCCTCCATCGCCGGCACAATGTCGGCCGCGCCGAGCGAGCCAGAGTGAGGCTTTCCGAAGGCGGACTTCTTGCCCCACTTCTCGTAGCGGTCGATGTTGGACTTGGGGTCGCTCCCCTCGACGGGGAAGGCCTCGCTGCGGGTGGTCGGCATCCTGAGCCCTGGTTGATGAGAGGAGACTTGTCCGTGGAGGAGCAGCTAACTAAACCCGATTTCTTTTACTTTTCCACGAGCGAAAGAACAAACAACTCATGCGGCAGAGAGGCAACGCACGAAAAGAATTCCCGGTTTGAAGATTTGTTTTATCGTTTTTCACTGCGCCCTCTGTTGTGTGTTGAGCACTTGAGCACTGGATAGGGTCGATTCCGCGTGGTACGGGACCCCTCCCTCGTGCCTCGATCGTCTCGCCCTCCCTCGCCCTCTGTTCATTTGCGAGAGATTCTCCCGCTTTCTGTTCATTTGCGAGAGATTCTCCCGCCATTCTCTCGCTCGCCATTCTTCCTCCGTTCAGATGTAATTCGCCCGCTTTTCAAATACATTTTGTGGCGCTTTCAAGAGATTTTTACCGCAAATTTAGTGCTCTTCATGGCAGTTTAAGGCAAGCGTGCCTTATCCTGGGACCTGGCTGGGTCCGGCCGGCGTGGTCGGGAGCCCTCGACTCCTCGGCGAGCTCTTTCCTGCCTCAATGACATTGCAACAATGAGTGCGAATCAGTGGACAGTGCGTCTTACTTAGTCCTTACTTAGCTGTCGAGAGCACGTCTTGCTACTAACTATGCACGACAACAAAACTCCCTCGCGCGCTTAACGGGGTGAATTCTTCTTCCGCGTTTCGTGGCCATACCCACAGGGCCCCCCAGCACATCGCCATGATCACGCAAGCGGAGGATCATCTGCCCTCGAGAGAAGACAATACCGCTGAGGACTCGGAAGCGGTGAGCAATGGCCCCGTGAGCAGTGCGTTGCACCAACGATGTGTCATTTCTTACCGCATGAAGTCCGCGCGAAGGCTATTTGGCAGCGTCGCGTTTGCATCGTTTGCTGCCTTCTTGCTCGTGAGTCGTCTTGCATTACAACCTGGAGAAGCTTTGAGACCCCCATTGTCGCCTTCGCTTTTACCGCCACCTCAGGAGCTCCCGCCGCCGTCTACACCGGCGTCACCACTGCAGCGTCAGCGCATGCAACCACCGTTGCCGAACACCACGTTGCTGCGCGTGCCGCCTGCGCCTTCGCCACCAGCGTTGCCGCCGCCCGAGCCCGTTAGCTCGTGCGACGCGTGGGACCATGCAGCTCCACCGACGGCCGCAGCATTGGACCCGCAGACACAGTGGGTGGTTGTGAGCCTCCCGCTGATCGGCCTTGGAGATTACCTTGCAGGTTTGCTGTCCGCTTACATGCTGGCGGCGGCGACGCAGCGCCACTTGTACATCGAGACGCCATTTAGAGGCCCGTTTGTCTCCTTCGCGCCGTACGAAGTTCCGCCGCCGGTTGGATTGCCATCCATCGGAGAGAAGGGCAAGCCCACGTGGTGGAAGGGCACGCGGCAGGTCTTTCATGGTCACGGCGGCGAGGCGGGGACGGGCTGCTTTCCCTTGAGCCTGATCAACCTTTCAGCACCCGTGCTGATCAATCCGGTGCCGCGCAATAGGGCGTGCGCCAAGGCTTGGCTGGCCGACCTCGAGACGCTCGGCTTGTGGCAACGGCTGGTTCCCGGTGTGGAGCCGGCGAGCCTAGAGACGCGCGCCGCCTTCGTGTACGGATGCGTGCTGCGATCCCTCTTCAAGCCCTTGCCCGCCGTTACTCGGCTTTTCCCGGAGCACCCATCGACACGCGCGCGTACGCGCACGCGTGTTGTCGCCGTCCACCTCCGCTACGGCGACCGCTTCATAAAGGACGGGCAGAGCGCCGCCTCGCGAGGCTCCAGCTGCCCGAGCTCCTCGCCGGAGTGGCAGCGGGAGATCTCGGCCCTTGCGAGGCAGCTGCTCGACTGGACGTCGCTGCCGCCCTCTCGCATCACGACGTTCCGGCTCGAGTCGGACGATCCGTGCGTACGCTCGGCGCTCGCCACCGAGTTGACTGGCCATCCCAACATGTTCGTCGCGCCAGCGATCGCCCTGCCGGTGCATCTCACGACGAGCCGCGTCTCCTCCACGGACGAGGCGGCGCAGCTCGCCGCCTGGTTTGCCTTTGCGGACTCGGACGAGTTTGTCTTCAAGCTCTTTTGCCTGCCGACCGGGACACGCCTCTCGAGCTGGTCGAGCATGGCGATGCTCCGCAGTGGGCGCGACCAGTTCCACCTGCTCTGCGCCGATGCCATTCACGAGTCTCACGGCTGCCACGCGACGCAGGCTCCGGAGCCGTCCGTGCGCGCTGGCCCCTACGTCGCCAGCTGCAACATCACGGCAGCCAACTCGCTCGCACTCGGCGCGGGCCACACGACGCGCCATGCGGTCGCCGCGTCGACGGCCGCTGGTCAGCTGTGGTCGATGGCCAACTTTGTGTGAGGAAGGACTCAGGTGTCCGAGCTGCGCGTATCGCTGCCGTACAGTATCGATGCTCGTGTAACGAGTCTTGTTTGAGCCCGACAGCCCGACCAGCCTGACAGCCCGACCAGCCCGACAGCAGCCCAGACCGTACACAGACCGTACAGTCTTGTGCCCCATGAGGGTATAACAGAATATTATACATGCAAATGTGGGAGCTGTCTGCGGGGGGAGTGGGTATGTGAGTTTTTTTGCCAGTTTTCCAGGTTGTCGAGAGGGGTTCTACTGTACTCTACCCATACCTCGACCGTTCCAATCGAGCGCTCAGCAGATCACGGCAGATCACGGCCGGTCGAAGCGCGAAGTTCGCCTTCGCGTCCCCGTCCGATTTGCGGTTTCACGCTTCACTGCGGTTGTCGTGAACACATCGTGGGGACTCCGTATCTCATCATATCCACGTGTATCTCCTGGTATCTCCCGGAGCGATTCTAAGATCAGGTCTGGCACCTCCCCACTGGAAACGAACATCTGAGTTTCAAATCTCGAATAAATCTCGAAACACACTTGAATGCTCACTTGGCAGGTAACATATGCGCCACGCGCCCCAACCGCTGCTCTGGTCGCCGCCGGCCTCCGCGGCGGCGGCGATGTCCCAGCGCCACCCATCGGCCAGCCCTCAGATCGATCGATCGGCGCTCAAAGTCGGCTTCAGATCCGAGAACGCTGCTGGCGCCGCCGCCGATCCCAGCGGCGACGCCAGCAGCTTCCTCTGCTCTCCAATGCGCCGAGAAGCGACGCGGGGGTGCTCGGCCCGCCGTGGACGTCGAAGGCTCCGCCGGGCGCGCGTCGGCCGGTCCGGTGGCACCCTCTGCGCGCGGCACCTGCCGGCGCCCCGACGACAGCCGTCGCGCCACCGCTCATGGAGGGGCGGTCGGCGCCGCTGCCGCCGCGCCGCCGGTGGGAGGGGCACTGGTGGTGGCCTGGGCGGCCCTCCGCCGCCGCTCGGGGCGCCCGGGCAGCGGTGGCAGCCTGCCGCCGCACCACTTCGAAATGCCCGCTGCAGTCTGGGAATACCTGGGTTGAGCGCGCCGTTTTGAGTGGCCGATTTCGCCCTCGACCCGGTCGCCGCCGATGGCTCGCGTTGTGCGGGTCCAGCGCCGCGGCCAGCCAGCGACACCCTCGCCGGCGGCCGGGCGGGTGCGGACGCGAGCTGAGTGCGAGGTATCGCCGCTGTTTGAGCTCACCTCTGCCGACGGCGGTGCGCCGAGAGAGCCGCGCCCGGCTGACGCCGCGAGTCGGCCAGTAGTTTGCGAAGATAACATTCGACAATGGCGACGAGACTTGGAATTTGGCCGCTCTACTACATTTACTCAGCACCTGTGCGCTCACAATACCCGCCCCGACGCGCCCTGCCTCGTAGGTGAGGCTGAGCCGGACGCAGCGCCGCTCGCGCTGCGCGCGCCAAGGATACAGCGGCCTCGGCCGCCGAGGGAGGCGCCAAGTCAGGGCGCAGTCGGGCACGTGCCCAACCTGGCGCCAAATTGTTGGCCGGGCCCCCGGCCCGCCAAGGCGTGTTAATCGGGGAAAATCCGCCGTCAAACGAGCTCCTCTTCGCGCTCTCAGAGCGCCATCCGCTCTCCATCCGGTGCGGGCTGGCCGCACACTTCTCTCCTCCCTCCTCTCTCCTCGCTACCCTCCCCTCGCCCAGGCTCGCCTCATGAGTGGCCGCGGTTGTCGCCGGTGCTCGCCCGCGACGCGTCGCTCCGTCCCACGTCGCAGGCCAGGCAAACAGGACTGGCTCGTCGACGGGAGTGCCAACGTGCGGATACCACACACAGGGCTTTCGACTCGTGATGCCTATCGTGTGCTGCTAGAGGAATGGGGAGCGCGCCAGCGGGGCTCGCTTTTTTCTAGGAGCAACAACATCGCCATTCGATTGCTATATTTTTCAAGCCCCCTGTACGAGAACCGTGCCGACCTGGAGCCACTTGCCGCGCGTGCCCCGCCCGGTGACACAAGTGCTCCATTCTCAGCTGTGGGCGCGGCCGTGTGCGCGCGCGTGGAGGCACGCATGGAACGTGCAAAGCGACTGCGCATCAAGACGCGGCGGGAGAGAGTGTAGTGCAAAATCATCGCAGTCACGCGATCACGGATACGTGTGTGCACAAAAAAAGCACAGGCGGAACTACATGCACAAGTGACCGTAATGGCCGTCGCGAACGGAACGACACGCGAGCCCGGACGCAAGCGTGCGCGTGTCGTCCCGCCACGCTGCGGCGAAAACTCGGCTGGCGCAGTAATCGCCGCAGTAATCGCCGCTCCACGACCGGGCGGCCTCGTCTCTTGACGGGGAAGAGCCGCCTGCCGGTCGAGAGTGGGCGATGAGGCGAGAGCGAGAGACGCGCGCACGCGGCGGCGCGCGCACGCGGCGCGCGGGTCCGCACAGGAGCGCGTGACAGCGACGGCGCCCTCGCTCCGGTACCTGCGAGGCACAGGTATCGTTGGTGCGTGCTGCCGTGCCGCTGCGGCGACGAGGGCCGCCGCTATCCGCTGCAGGCGCGCCGTGACGGTGCCGAGGCGGGCCAGGCAAGCGTGGCGCGGTGACGGGAGGGCGGGCGGTGGATCGGGGCGGCTCTGGGTCGCGCGGCGGGGCGGCGGCTCGCACGGGCGACGGCGAGAGAGGCGCACCGGAGAGCGGTATCAAAGCTCGAAGATAACACTTGAACTGGCCGCTGTCGAGCTGGCCGGGCGTGCCTCGGACGCCCAACTATCGGATGGACCGGCCTCTACCCGCGCCCCGGCGACGTGCCACCTGCGAAAGCGGCGCAAAGGCGGTGTCGTCCGAAAGGCGCTTGCGCGGCTGTTGCGCAGGCCGCGGTGCGTCCTGACGCGGACTGTGCGTGCTCCGTGGCGGGTGCGTGGTACGAGGCGGGCACTCGAGCTTACCCGGGGCAATTTCCGTCACATGCGGGCGCGTGCGGGCGGCCGCAAGCTCACCGTCCACTCAAAAGCCTCCATCGCGCTGACCCAGGTATTCCCAGACTGCTGACCACTTCGAAATGCCCGCTCAGGCGGCCCGCGGCCGGCGCTATTCTTTTTTCTACAAAGCAAAATTCGAGCCAATGGAGGAAACTCAAGCGGGCAGGCTGGAAGCACTGAGGGACGGCCGATGTTCGCCCAGTGCCAGACCTGATTTTAGAATCGCTCCCCGGTATCTCCCAGGAGTTGTGTTGACTGTTGTCTTCACACCGTGTCGGGAGGTGTCCGCGACGAGGGGTCGCGACACACATCTCGCACGCGAGGTCGAACCATGTCCTCTTCTCCTTATTTCTTCACTTTCCTGAACGCCTTGCCTATCATCATGGTTGCAACTAAAAAGACCTCCAAGCCCTGGGAGCCCTCCCCTTACTATTTACAACCCAGGCGCTCACGATTCACGTGACAGGCGAGGCGCGGGCGACGGCTTCCTCAGAGAAAGAGAAAAGTATTATCCTAACGGTGTGGGGGCGCGGAGGGCTTGTCGGCGAGCCAAAATGGTGTTTTCCGAGGCGCTGCGCTAGGCTCAGAGCGAGTTCACAGCGCTAGGCTCAGAGCGAGTTCGCGCTGCGCTAGGCTCAGACGGCGAGTTCGCGCTGCGCTAGGCTCACAGATGGCGAGTGCGCTGCGATAGATTTGCGCTGCGATGAAAAGACCCCGTTATAGGAGCCGATAACCCAGAGGAAAAGCGGCGTTTTCTTCTTGCGTCCAACTCCGGCAGTTGGCCTCCAGCATGGCAGCCTCCAGCGACCTGCAGGCTCTGCAGCTTCAGAATCGGAACCTGCAGCAAAAGCTCGACTGGAAGCAGCTCAAGATCAACCAGCGCGACAAGCACATTCGCGATCTCCGCGACGCGACGCCGGCGCGCGCCGCCGACCTCGAGCGCCTCGAACGGTCGCTCTGCCGGCTCTCGTTGCAGATGGAGCACATGCAGCTCGTCATAAAAAAACCGGAGTGGTCGTTTCACACCTTTGCGATGCCGGAGAAGACCGCCTCCTCGGCGCACACCATCTTTGTCCGACCGCCCAGCGGGAACAGGCTCGAGGTCACAATCCCGCCGGGCAAGCTGCCGGGCGACATCTTCACCGTGATGCTCAAGGACGAGGACGCGTACCCGCCGGACTGGGTGTGGCACGCGGCGCCGCCCGCGGCGCCCGCGCACTCCGCGCCGCCGCCGTGGGCGGAGGAGCAGCCGGCGGCGCAGGAGGGCGAGGACGGGGAGGAGGGCGCAGACGAGGAAGACGCAGACGAGGCGGCCCTCCGGAAGAAAGCGCCGATGCCTGTCGGACACACAGACCCGCGCTGTGGACCGTGCGCTCTGTGTGAACCGCGCGACGCCCCGCGCTGTGTACCGAGACCGCGAGAGCTCCGAGGGACCGCGCAGTCGGCAGCTCGCACCGGCCGGCGGCCGCGGCGAGAGTCGCGAACGGCACGCCAGCGGCCTCGCGCGTGCGGTGTATGGGCTCTCTTCTCACAAACGTGTGTGGGCACAAATATATTGAACATACCGAACCGCACCTGTGCGACTCTCCGACTCACACACCTGACCGCCAGCATGGGAACGACGGCCAGGGCGCCAGGAGCGCGGCCGAAGCTTGCCAGAATATGGCCGCAGCGAGAGCCTTCGGCGGGCCCCCGGCGGATTCCTTCGGCGCGGCGCTGCGCACCGGCCTGCGCCTAAGGAGAGCTGAACGCGAGTGAGGCAGCGTAAAGCCGGCGTCGCAACGCATCCTCTGGGCGCCTGAGCGCGGCAAAATCTTGCCAGAATGTGTCCGCAGCAAGAGCCTCCGGCGGGCCTCCGGCGGACGCCTGGCGGCGTGGCGCTGCGCGCCGGCCTGCGGCCCAGGTACCTAGTTGACCCCACGCCCCTATTTGACCCCACCGAATCCCTTGGTTGGCCCTCGCAGCCACGAGGCACGGGACTAGATCTCTTGGCGCCAGCGCTGCAGCGCGCTTGCGTCGTCGCGTGGCCCGTCATCAGCCTGTCTGTGTCTCTGGGCTTTTGTGTGTGAAGTGCGATTTCGGGGCCCGGGGTTGTGCGTTTACGTGAAGGTACCTGTATGCCGTGTGTAGAGTGTAGCCCCCCCAAAACTGAGGTCCAGCAGCCCTGAGGTGCCCTGAGCACACATGCGAGCGCCCATGGTCATATCTCGTCGTGCACTCGCCTGACAGTAGTTTGTTTGCGGAAGACCGCCGCCAGCATGTCGTCGCACCGGCGCTGCCGGTGGCCAAAGGCAGCCACCGTGGGTCCAGCAGCGCGAGCTGGTGTGCATCCGCGCTCCCAGAGCATGCCGGTGGATGGCCTTGACCAGGCCTGAGCAGCTCAGGAGTGGAGGCAGCCTCTGTCTGGACGAGTAGCGCTGGATCGCCAAACCAGCAGAAGAGCGCCGAGTGGCGGCGCCGACTCCGTGAGGCCACTCCAACTCGCACATCTCAAGCTGTATCTCGAGAACGCGATCGAGTTAGAAGCTCATCGACACGCCCGCGGGTCGGCGTCTTCAATGGCGCTTGGCTACCGTAGCCCGTCACTCCAGTCAGTTGGTGTCAGCGACGAATCGGCCATCCTGCCCCCCTTTTGGGTCGGTGCTAATACCACTTACGGGAGGGTGGTATAAGTACACACATTATTGTGTGTAAACAAATATAACACACACCTCTCTACGGAGACGATCGGCTTCGGGGACACGGCTTTAAAAAAGGGGTACATTTGTGTGCGAGGGCGTGGTTTGTAAAAATCTGTATTTCCGGGTGATGTTCAACGCGACCGGGTGATGTTCAACGCGGCGACCGTCCTCGAGATGATCCACCTCCGAGGACGAGATGATCCACCACCGAGGTGTGCGGAGGGCTACGGCATCTCGGTGAGAGGGCACTTCCCGCACACCTCCGCACACCTCGGACACTCGCCGGCACACCGGCCGCCCGACGGCAGCCAAGCCCGCGCGCCGGAGAGAGAAGAGAGAGAGAGAGAGAGAGAGAGAGAGAGAGAGAGAGAGAGAGAGAGAGAGAGAGAGAGAGAGAGAGAGAGACAGAGAGAGAGAGAGACAGAGAGAGAGAGAGACAGAGAGACATAGAGAGAGAGAGAGAGAGAGAGAGAGAGAGAGAGAGAGAGAGAGAGAGAGAGAGAGAGAGAGAGAGATCACCGAGGATGGCCGACTCTCCAAGCCCCTCTAGTGCAGCTGAGCCACCAAACGATTACAAGCTCTCACTGTGGTCCCGCCTCCCACGCCTCGACCTTCTTGGGCAGCAGCTGGTTCGACAGGTCCTCTCCGTGGCCTAGGCAGCCGCGCTCGCCCCCGCCCCAGGTAGAGACAGCGCCGTCGGCGGCGAGGGCGATGCTATGGTGCTGTCCAGCCGACACAGCGACGACGCGCCGGCCCGCAAAGGCCTCGACCTTCTTGGGCAGCAGCTGGTTCTGCTCGTCGCCGTGGCCCAGCTGGCCCCCGCCTCCAAAGCCCCAGCTCCAGACAGCGCCGTCGGCGGCGAGGGCGAGGCTGTACGCGGCTCCAGCAGACACAGCGACAACGCGCCGGCCCTCCAAGGCCTCGACCTTCTTCGGCAGCAGCTGGCGCTGCTCGTCGCCGTGGCCGAGCTTGCCCCCACCTCCGTCGCCCAAGCTCCAGACGCTGCCGTCGGCGGTGAGGGCGAGGCTGTATAAGTATCCAGCCGCGACAGCGACGACGCGCTGACCCGCAAAGGCCTCGACCTTCTTGGGCAGCAGCTGGTCCTGCCCGTCGCCGTGGCCCAACTGGCCAAAGTAGCCCCGGCCCCAGCTCCAGACAGCGCCATCGGCGGTGATGGCGAGGCTGTGGCCGGCTCCAGCAGACACAGCGACGACGCGCTGGCCAGCAAAGGCCTCGATCTTCTTGGGCAGCAGCTGGTCCTGCTCGTCGCCGTGGCCCAACCGGCCATACCAGCCATTGCCCCAGCTCCAGACGGCTCCGTCGGCGGTGAGGGCGAGGCTGTGGAAGCGTCCAGCCGACACGGCGACGACGCGCTGGCCAATCAAGGCCTCGACCTTCTTCGGCTGCCACTGGTCCTGCTCGTCGCCGTGGCCCAGCGCGCCCAAGCCTCCCCGGCCCCAGCTCCAGACGCTGCCGCCGGCGGTGAGGGCCAGACTGTGGTACTCTCCAGCCGACACGCTCACGGCGCGCTCGCCGCCCAGCGCCGTCGGGAGTCGAGTTGGCGTGTTGAGCCGCGTCACGCCCTCGCCGTGACCGAGGAGGCCTGGCCGCCAGCTCTCAGTCTTGCCGCACGACGAGAGCCGCCCCTCGCCGACGATGAAGACGCTGTGCTGTTCGCCTGCCGCCGCCCTCGCCGGCGGGTTGGACTCGCACAGCAGCGCCGAATAGCACAGCCACCGCACGGCACAGCCCTCGCCCTCTGGCTGCGCCCGCAGCTCGAAGCCGCGCTCTTGCGCCCACAAGCGGATGCCCTCCACCGCAAGTGAGGCGTGGAAGAGCAGCGAGACGGCCGCGACGCGAGAGATGTCGGCGGGGTCGCAGCGAGAGACGACGCGCACGAGGAGGTCCGTGGGGAGGTCGAGGAGGCGGGTGGGCGGCGGCGTGTCTGGCGAGGGAGCGGCGGTGGTGGCGGGAGCGAGGCGGCGCGAGCGGCGGCGCGCCGGGGCGGACATCGCGAGAAAAGAAAAAAATCGCGACGCAGCGCTTGCGTCGTCGAGTGGCCGGGGATATGCAACGGTGGCATAAAGTGTATGATACACCGTCGCATCTCTGGGCTTTTGTCACTGAAGGTACCTGTTGTCATGTGTAGAGGAGTGTAGCCCCCAAAACTGAGCGTCAACTCAGTACTCTCACGACCGAGGGCCGTGATGTGAGCGCTTCCCCGACCGCTCCGCCGCGTCGCTGCGCACCCGCTTGCCCGCGCCCGAGGCCTGCGCCGGCAGGGGCGGCAGCGCCGTCCCCTGGCGCCGCGCGAGCAGCACGCCCTTCTCGTACTCGAGCCGCTTGATCTTCGACTCGAGCTCGACGAGCAGGACGAGGTGGGCGCGGCACGAGTTGTAGAGGCGCACGTTCGCCTGCGCGCAGACGGCGGCCGCGCGTGAGGAGGCGCAGCCCCTCTCCCCGCCGGCCCGTCTCTCGTGCCGGCGCGGCCTCGCCTCGGAAGGCAGCACCTTCGCCGGCATCGCAACGTCCCTCATCCGGCCGTCGAAGTGCGTCAGCTGCTTGTCGGCGGCCGGCTTCTTGGTCGAGAGGTCGGCCGAGCGCAGCCACGCGCCGACGGAGCGGGGACGCTTCGGCGCCTACCGTCTCGGCCCATCCCGGCTGATCCCGGCTGATCTCGGCCCATCTCGGCCCATCTCGGCTGATCTCTGCCGGCCTCGGCCCATCTCGGCCCATCTCGGCTGATCTCGGCTGATCTCCGGTCTCGCCTCTTGCCAGCCAGAGAGGGAGAGCTCCACATCTCGGCTGATCTCGGCCGATCTCGCGGCCGATCTCGGCTGATCTCGCCTCCATCAGCCCCGCGAGCGAGGGCAGCCCCCCCAGCGCGAGGTCGTCGCCCGCGCCGAGCCCCGACGCAGACAGCGACGCCTTGAGCGCCTGCAAGGTCGCCGCCTTGCCGCCCGGCTTGAGGGCCTTCCGCTGCCCCCTCAGCCTCGCCTCGAGCGCCTTTGCCTGCGTGTCGCGGCGGGGCGGGGCGTGGGCGTGTCGCAGCGGGGCGTGTCGTGGGCGTGTCGTGGGCGTGTCGGTCGCTTGCCTGCTCGAGCCTCCGCGCCTCCTCCGCCGCCTCCTCGGCTGACCGCTCGTAGAGGCGCTCGAACTCCTGCGGAGGGGGGGCGGGAGGGGGAGGGGGGGCATTGGGTGTGTGTGTGTGTGTGTGTGTGTGGTGGTGGTGGTGGGGGGGGGGGGGGGAAAGGGCCGGGTGGCCAGCGGGAAAGGGAGGGAGGGGAGGGAGGGAGGGAGGGAGGGAGGGAAGGGAGGGAGGGAGGGAGGGAGGGAGGGGCCGAGGGGAGGGAGGGGCGGAGGGGCCGCTCGCGCACCCTTTTCCGCGCGACCTCGGGCGCAGAGTCGAACTGAAACGTCCCGAGCGGGTGCTCTGCCAGCACGGTGGCGGCGCCGGAGCCTTCGGCGGCGGCCCTGAGTCCCGCCTGCAGCAGCGAGCGGCACCCCTGCCGGGGAGGGGGGCGGTGCCCGGCTCAAGGGTGGTGGGGGGGGGGGGGGGT